CTAAAACACACCCGAATAAAAATGTTCTCCCCATTTTCAATCGTCGGAACAATTACTTGATACCCCACGCCATTTGCATATATAAAAAGATATCTCTCAAAAATTTTGACAGAAGGTTTTTGTTCATTTTGTGCATAAAACAATACGAGGCCCAAAAGTTTTGTGGATATGCGCAAAATTTGGTGCAGGTAGAATCCTGAAACCAAGAGACAAGCCTTGAAGTTTTTTCCGAACTGTAATTAAAAACGATTTACCCAATTGTTACAAAAGCCACGAGGAAATACTTGGAACATAAAATGTGACGTCAATTTATTTATGTTGCCGAATCCGCAACCTTTCAATATACAGTCACGGAGTTGCATTTTTTTGGTTTCAACGAGAAAGTGTACGTAGAGTTTCTTCTCGTTTTGTTCGTTTTCTCTGCAACTAATCAAAATACAGAATTCAATTTTTGACAAAAGGTAGATGAAACTATTTGAAAGGGCTTAACTGGACCAAAATTTGAGAAACAGTGTTTTCAAGGCGTAGCTGAGTCGGCATCTCATAACAATTTGTTGCTGTGCAAACAGCCTTACAAGCTATAGAAGGAATTTGAGCTTAGGGATTCAACTTTGTTCTTTGGGAAGCTGATAAGCTTGAATTACACATAATGCAGCCGAAAAATGACAAATTTTAGAATTAATAGAGTTACTTGGCCCGGCGTAAGAAATCGTCTAAAATTGTACGAAGATTTTTGCGCTTGTGATCGAATTCAGACAAAAAAATCATTCCAGCATTTATTCCGGAAAAATTACCGCTTCAATCCATGCAGAGGAGTTTCATCATCAGTTGTATTGTGTGTAAATTTTGTTCAGTTTTTTGATACAAGCTCCCAAAAAATTTTAGGGGACGTGTCGTGAAAACAGATTTGAACTTTTTTCGACGCCGGGCCGAGTAACTCTGGTACTCTGATAATTATGTTATGTTGTGTGAAACAAGTATATCAGATACCTAAAGATCTAAGTTGAGCTCCTAAATTCAAATTCCTTCTGTTGTTTCCATGGTTGTTTCCGCAGCAAGAACACATCTATACCTAGTTATGATATGCTGGCTCATTTACGCCTTCGAGACAATATTTCCCAGCTTTCGTCCGGTTAAGCGCTTTGAAATGTTTTAGTCAACCTTTTGTCAAATTTTGAACCCTACATCTTGAATATTTGCAGAGAAAACGAACAAACGTGAAGAAAAAGTGCGTTGAAATCAAATAGTTGCGCAACTTCGCAGTTTCTGCATGTGAAAATAAGTTTTGTCAAAAAGGAGGTCAATTGGTTTTCTTAATCTTTTACAGAACACAATCACAGGAAATGTACTCCGCAAAGTTTTTTGCTATTGGAGCAATTAAGAGGAATACATGGATTTAGCGTTTTGTCTGTGGATTCCGCCACATCAAGAAGATTTTAAAAAAGTATCTTTGCTTCACAACAAATCGGTTTTCATCCTGTTGCTGAATCCGCTTCCAAACCGCAAATTTTATAGTTTGAACTTTTAATGTTATTGATTGTTGTAAAAATATTTTTTCAACAATTTGAATGCTATTCATTGTAACAACACTCTTTAATTATTAATTAAAACCCTTTCGGCAGCGCAAACAATTTCATATAATTGTCTCAGTACACGTCACACACAAACTACACGAGTTCAAAGAAAATTTTTTTTTCTAGTTTTTCATGAATGTGGTTGGAACTTGGAACTTTCGGTGCACAGCAATCAGCTCGCCTCGTCTTTAAATTTAAATAGTTATATATTTACAAAATCAATTACAGTGGTGACAATTTTTTTCTACTACTTGCAATTGGCTGACTCTTTTCCTTCAACTTCAACTAATTAAGTGTAATCATAAAAGTTAGTTGGAACTTTCCTTGGCGGCGTAGAGAGCAATAAATGGATAAACTTCACTTCATTCATATCACAAAAAGTCTGTACCACGAATGGAGGATTTTCCCGCTTCATTGAAGCAAACAACTGCAGAGAATTTTTCAAGCTGTCTACAAAAATTTTAATGTAGTTCTTTTTGAATTTTTGTGCAATAACTTTGAGTAATTCCGCGCATTTCGTTTTCTTCTTATCAAAAATTTATAGTTTTTCGGTTGTTATTCTTGTTACAGTTGAAGCCAGTATAGCTTTACTGAGAATCTAACTAGTTATTTTAGATATTTATCGAATCAACTCGCTGTTGTGAGAAAAAAAGTCAAATCTATTTGAAAATAACAAGGAAATGCAAGTAGAAAAAACTTCTAAATTCGATCGTTGATATATCTGGAAGCTTGCAGTTATTTTTAAAAAAATTATGCTTTGAAAAGCTATAGATTTTATCTATGACAAAAAACTAAGGTTGCACTCAAAACAATGAAAATTTATACTAACTAGTTTTCGGTAACGATATCCAAAAATAGTTTTCGGTTTATTTAGTTTTCCGGTGCTTCGATTTTGATAAAAACTAAAAAGAGTGACTCGTACGCGGAGTATCACATTCCTAAGAATAAATAACTCCTCTTTTATCTTTTTTCATGTTCAAACAAAAATTGTGAGTTGACAGTTTAGAAAAAATTATATTGACAAAAATGATTTTTTTTTTATTGTAAAGCTTTAAATTACTGTTCAAACTGATATCTTAACTTTATATTAAAAATGTAGCTTTCTTCTTTTTCCTCGTCTGCAACATGACAAGTGGTAAGTTGAACTTCACTTGTAAATATTGTAAGGCAAGCCAAGTAAAAGAATGTTCATACATCAAAAATTTAGGTGAAAGGTACAAAATAGAATTGGACTCGGCATTGTCATCACAAAAAAAAACTATATTTGGTTGAAATTTGGTAATAACAATTTTAAGCAAAGTTTTGCCACTTGTTTTAAATTAACTTATCAATTTTATAAAAAAATGTTTACTAACCACGCCAACGGTTTTACTGTATATGAGAGCATCATTAGACCTACAGATCCGTTTAAAACGTTTTTACAGTTTTTTGAGTTATCAATTTATCGAGTTCAAATGAAAATTTTTTGCTAATATCTCTGAAATTACCAACACTAACCGAAATTTCATTTTCACTGTCAATGTAAAATTGTCTTTTTGTAAAAAACATTAGTTTTTTTTCTGCAAATTCTTCCTTTTTTAGTTGTGATTAATTTGTCTAAGAGTTACATTTGTATTCAGGGGCGAATCTAAGATTTTCGAGAAGGAGGCGGGGCAAATTTTCAACAAAAAATAATTGTCGACCTTTTTTTAGGTCAACAAAACTAATTTTGCACTAAAAATACTTTGTTCCGGAGAAAAAACAGGCCAAAATAGGCGTTCTCATGCGTTTTTGGACACTTTTGACCAAAACTTGTGTTTCTCGCGCGCACTCCCCACTCTCAAAATTAGTGTATAATGGCTTCAAAGACGTTTTCAGAAAAATTTTAGGGCCAGCCAGCCAAAAATGGAGGTCGTAAATTACTATTAAAGGGGGACTCTCAGGGTCGGCGGGGGTTAAATCCCTAAGGATGGCGCCTATTTCTTTTTTTGCGTCGAATACAACTTTTGTCTAACTTATTACACACGCCATTTGAAAAATCAGAACTTTCAATGCGAAATTCTGATACGAGCAGCATGCCCCAATTTACCTGAAAACTAGTTAAATGGTCTGAGTGTAAAGTTTTACTATACCCAGTGGATTAAAGTCTTAGTATAGCTGATTTCAAATCACTGCTTTTAAATTCAAGTCATGACTTAAAATTCTTTGATTTTAACAACTTCGCAACTGAAAAAAGGTCTCCCTGTTTAAGGCAATTTTTTATTGTAAACTTAAAAGACTTTCAGGTGACGATCTCACCACAAAAAAAATCGAAACCGACAGTATAAAGTTATTACTTTTTTAGGTTTTCTCTTTGAGTGAATTACAAAGGTTTCCCTAGGTGTAATGCGTTATAAAGAGTTCCCTTTTGACCTCCCAATGCAACTTTTTGGGTAAGTTAAGTCCAGTTTTGTGTGCGAAGATGTTTATCAGATACATTTAGCATATTGGTAAGGTGTTCATTTTGAGATAGTCAGATCGAGTGTTAAATCTTCTGCCATGGCAATGATAGTGATAGTGATAGTGATAGTGATAGTGTTTGAGGAAGAGTTATCAGTTGACTTCTAGTATTATTTCCACCAAGCTAAGCAATTTCAGCTGCAGTATGGCGACCACGTGAAAATTCTAGACGCAAAGGCTGGTCCAAGTCGCAAAAGAACATCCTTGCTAAACTGAATAACTTAAACTGAGATGAGTGGAAACAATACAGAATATTCTTACATAGCTTGCTAAGGCCTATTGGTTGATCCTCTGCAAATCGCAGGAATCACAAATTTTTTTTAAGTCTCGTCTGTTGTCTTAGACGTGTTGCTTTGCTTTAGATGTGTCTTCAATCGGACAAGTTTTTTTAGAATATGATTTTTTACATTTTCACCTCATTTTCACACGTAATCATCTACTGGAAGTTTTTTTGATTAAATGCTTCAGTCTTTAGCCTCTCAAAAAAATTGTTACGTCTGATCTGTAATTTGAGGTTAGTCTCTCTTTTTGTTCCAAGCAAATTCAGGTATTGTCGAGCCTTCTTAAAAATTTAAACTGGTCATTTTGAGGCCCTGTTATTCATCATATTTGAAACTGAGAAAAACTAATACTAATTTTTAGGGCCTACTATTGTCTATAGTCAGATACCGATCAATTATTCAAGGCTATTCCACAAAGACTTAATCAATTGAAGCATGAAAAGAAAACATGTACAAACAATGTTTTTTATTAAACAGCACGGGTAGATATTTCGAACTCTTCATTTTCTCAAATAAGTTTTTAAAAAGTCAAAAATCCAAAGTTTACCAGAAATTTTTTCTGTTTTCAGAAAATTCTCCTCTATTCTACTTGCACATAAAATCTCTCCTTTTTTAGCTTCGTTTCTTTTTTTTAGAATTTCTCGCAGAGTCTTTTGATTAAATTGAGCTTCTTCTGTTTGGTTGTTAAATTCCAGTAAATTAGCAAAGAAGTAATCTAGTTACTGCCCTTCAGATCTTTTTCATTTCTTATCCTTTGGGCAATTTTGACTTAGTCGGATCAAATAGCCCCAATTTGCCTGAAAACTAGTCAATTGGTCTGAGCCTAATGTTTTACCATACCCAGTGGGTTAAAAATTACAGTCTGGCTGATTTCGAATCACTGCTTTCAATTTAATTCCACGGCGTGAAATCCTTTTGATTTTATCAGCTTCCAATTGAAAAAACGACAATTAGATTAGGCTTTGCATAATGACCCAGCCATGAAAACAAAACAGCTGCCGCTATAGCAGTTATTTCTCAATAGTTTTTATGTAACCCATTAATAGGTAAGTTGAGCAAATTTATTGAACTTTTGTTTTGAAAAATTGAGAAAACAAAATTCAGTCGAGAACTCAATATTTTCAGCCAACAGTTGAAAAATTGTAAAAATTTCACATTATGTCAAAACTGCCGCATTTTGTTGACGCTAGCCCGGGTTGAGATGGCGCACATAAAGTGCTCAAATTTAAACAATTTTGATTGGTTTCAACAGTTATTTTCTTAGAGCGAGCTACGTTCCAACCACGTGAAGTTGATGAAGCCGTTGAAAAACTTTTCAGAAAAAAGCTCCTTTGAGAAAAACCTAATCCACCCTGTTTACACAGGAAAAGGCAGTTCAATCATTAACCTTCTGCTGAGTGAAAGTGATCAACAGTGATAAGAGCTCGCAGCCAAACTTGGCTCTTTTATCAGTCCAAACACTTTGCACTTTTTTGCTGCAAAATTGTTTCTGTAGAAACGCAATACTTCAAAAGCAAATTTTTCTTGCTTGGTGTTTGACGTTTCAAATGCATAGGGAATACACTTTTTCGAAAAACTAAAGCTAGTCCTATAAATTTAAATTTTTTCCGGGTTTTCGATTTATTTCTCTGAAACTCTAGGAAATCAAAAATTCAAAAAATGATGTTTTTTGTTAATTCTTCTACTAACTAAAATACTATGTTAAAACCAGCCACATCTGACATGGCAGCAATTTTTTTTCAGCGGTGTGCCATGCTAAGGTTTGCTAAAATTTGTCATAGATAGTTTGCTGAAAGCTTGGAACTGGATTATTGGTAACTCACCAATTTTTCATCGCCAAAGCTGAAAAAAATTAGCAAAAAAAACCTTGCTCAGATTTTTTTGCAACGGTTTGTACAGCTTTTTTTGTAAGTGTTCATCCAAGGAATATTGTTTTTTAAACGGTTTTTTAGTACGCGTTACTGCTTTTTGGAGTTCTGCATGAGTTGAATGATAAGTTAGAGCGCATATGATGAGAAAAGTTCCAATTGTGCATCCAATCACTGATCAGAGTTATAGGTTTCTTTCCTTTGTGATAAATCCAAAAAAGTTTTGCTGATTTAGATACAGATACATCAACGCACGTTTTCAATTTTTGAACAACGTCTATCAAGCTTGACAAAAAACTTTAATCTTATCCAAAAAAAAATAGTTTTATAGATAAAAATGGGTTTTTGAAACAAATATTTTCCATTAAAATTGAGTTTTGTTTTTGATGTTTCTGCAGTACACAAATATGTTTAGATTAACTAGCGGTAGAAAAAATTTTCCGGATAATTTAACAAACAGTTTTTTTTGGAACTAAATTTCTTGCTCAACTGTGATAAAAAGTTCTCAAAAACTGTTAAAAGACTTATCAATTTTTTTATTTTCGCGCCCTACTTATGCTTTTCTAATGTTTATCTCATGCTTGGGGAAACATTTTTTGGTAGACTACCATTGGATACTTTGCTAAGCACCTTCTGTTAGCTAGCAGAGGCTATCAAATACAAAAGCATCAGAATAGCAAAAATTGTGTCAAAGTCATTGATTTTTCAGATCTGAAATAATCAAGAAAAAGTTAAGTTTTAGATCTAAAATTAGATCTGAAATAACCCATTCCTAAAGTATCCAAGCGTTATTTTAACATTTCACTTCCCATTTCAGATCTGAAATTTAGATCTGAAAAAGATTATTTCAAATATGAATTAGAACATTTACTTGGTAAGGGTTATATCAAGTAGTTAATGAGCAACAAAGTTGAATGACTTTCTTCTTTTAAGAACTAATCATCCAACAGTTAATAAACCTACACATCTAAAAACGCGATTTAACGACTTGTGTATTAATAGATTACTTGAACACAATGGAATTTAAGGGCTTAAAATCACACTCAAACAAAAAGTTCCTCCCAACTCAGAAGTTGTAATAAAAAAATAAAGACACGAACAAAGTTTTGGACCAAATTCTGAAGTTCCATAAACCACCTTGGGGGCTGCTCTAATTTCTTTGTTGCGGAGGACGAGGGGTTTAGTAGATTTCAATTTTTTGTAAACACTCCTGCTATTCAAGCAACGTTACTATCCGAATAAGCAAACTAAATGAAACTAAATGTTGAATGACTATTTTAAAAAAAAAACTATGAAGTTCCGGTGTTGTTTTTCTGATGAACTTGCGTAATTTTTCCTGGTTTTAATTTAAACTTTTTATAATTATTTTTTTTCTAGAAATGAGAAAGCGTGATTTTGAGGGATACAGAGTCGAACGTCTGCTGTTTCTCATCCAGCGCGAACAAGAAAAACTAAATTTCTTCTACGAGAGAAAATACTGTCGATTAGAATGCGGACGATTTTTCCCTCCAATTCGGTGTTCGGTTATTGAGAACCCCGTCAGCGGCGAGAGTGTTGAAAGAGCAGGAGAAGATGAAGCTAGTCAAAGTGTCCGGTTTTCGAGAGTGTTCGGAACTTTCAACCCTGATGACTTCCGAGCAGTTGATGACAGTGAATTGTGTTCGGGGTGTGGATACGCTTATGCAGATCATTACAAAGTAAATTTTACGATAATAGTTAAAATATGTTTAAAATATTCACTAATTTTTTGCAAAAGAATTTTTAGGTCTTTTAGAAAGTTTTGGGATCAAGTGAACAATCTCCCCCTAAATCAATTTAGGGGGGAGATTGTTCAACACTTGGTTAAACGTAATATTTTTCAGCCAATCTAATTTGAGCATAGTACATTAAGGCCTTACGGCTTAAATTTACCAGTTAATTTCAAGGGGGAGATTGTTCACATGTGCCTACGCATAGGTTTTGATGGCCAAGTTAGCGCTGATTGAACTTTGCAAAACTAGTTTTTTTTAAATAAAACCATATTTTTTTTAGCCTGAAGGACCAATTTTCATTAAAGACAGTTAGTCGACTTTCGACTTTTCCTGCTCGAAATTAGACAAAACTTGAGTATCTTTCTCGACACTGGGATAACTTTTTTTCAGAAAAAATATTTGAAAGTTTTATCCGAAAGACTGTTTATTTTGCCTGCGGAGTCCTAGTCCCTTAACCGTTTAAGAAGAGGCCAGATAAGCCTCCGCTATTTGTTACAGTTCGAATTTCCGGAGTTCCGTGATAAGATGCATGAGTTTTTTCGCCGGAGTTCAATACACTTAAGTTATATGCTATAGTGAAATCAAATCCAACAATATGACCTGGAATCCTATAGAAACCCATCTATTTCAAGTGCCTTTATATGGCCAGCAAATTAGACTTCTTTTTGGCTCGAAAATGTGATATTAGGTTTTAACACCCCGAGTCGAGATTTTTCACCTAATTTGAAGCAAGATTTGAGCGGTTTGAGCGGTTTTTTTAGATGAACCGTTCAAAAACCGCTCGTGTTGAAGCAAGATTTTGAGCGTAATTGTCTAAAAAAACCGCTCAAACCGCTCAAATCTTACATATTTTCCAGTGGTTATTTTGCTCGAGCATTTGAAAAAAGTCGCTCACATTGTTTTTGGTGAAGACATCGAAACAAATATTGTTTGATTTGAGAACGGTTAAGCACTTTTTTTAAATTGTAGATAGTATTTCAACTGCATCTTAGCGTGGGAGATATACTATATGGAAATTGTATGATAACCATTTTATAAGCTTCAAACTAAATTTTCGTTTTTGATGAGCCATGTGCTTTAAATTGAGCAAAAAAAACTCTTAATAATTTAAATTTGTTTACAAACAAGTTTTAACAAGTTTCTGAAAATCTTGCCTTTCATGAAAAAATGGTTATTATGCAATTTTCATATATGGAATTTGTAGGATAACTTTTTTTTTCCAAAAAAATTAAACGTAGTTTTTGTTCATTACCTGAGTGTTTTAATTGGTTCAAATAGCCGGAGAAACTATGTTGAATCTTTTTTCAATAGTTTTTTGAAATTGTATGAAAATTGAATGATTCGCATTTTTCCATACATTTGATGTAGGAAATTGTAAAGTAGGCATTTTCGGTGTGGTGAAATTTAAACTAAGCATTTTCGGTTTATGGATGTCAACCCGGGGTCACATTACCTTTTCAGGCCTTTTTGTTGGTTTTAATCGGTTTTCTTTATAAGACCGCTCAAAAACCGCTCAAATCTTGCTTGAAAAACCGTTCAAAAAGTCACCGCAAGAAATGAGCGGTTTTTGAGCGGTTTTTTAAGCAAGATTTGTGCGGTTTGAGCGGTTTTTCCAAAAAAACGACCAAACCGCTCAAATCTCTCTGAAAAACCGCTCAAACCGCTCATATCTTGAGCGGTTTTTGAGTGGGATCTCGACCCGGGATAGGTAATGCACAGGTAATTTCGCTGCCTTGTAATGCACAAAAAAGGACAAAGATTATTGTCTCTTTCCATTAATCCAAGTAGGTTTTTGCCCGGGTTTGCTATTTCCACTTTTATGCTTTGTGTAACGTCAGATTTAATTGATTATTGATTTTTTTCCGAAGCAACTCTTCTTCTGGAAAAAGAAATTTTGTATGGGTCTGATTAGCGACATAAGTTAATTTTTTTTAATGTTTGCAAAGGTTTACAGTTTAGGTGATTCATAACAGGTTTTTTTCGCTCCAAGAGCGCACTTTAGTTCTTTTTTCATAATTTGTAAAAAAAATATATATTTTAATTTCGTTGAAAAAAAATCTTAAATTTTCAAAAAAATGACGCATTTGGTGTAGTCAATCCAGTAACAATATTTTAAAAATTCCTCAAAACCAGCAGAAAAAAATTTTGTCGCGCTCTATATCATTCAGACCTGGACAGGATTTTACCTGATGTTATATCTACATAAATTTATCCTTTTTTTCATACCTAACTTAGTGTAATATAACATACCTAATTTTATCGTTTTTTAAAAATTGTAAAATAAGATTCTCACTCTTTGCTTCGCTATTTTTACATCTACCTAATTTTTTTTTTAAATTGTTATAAACGTGTTTTTCCGCTTTATTAATTCAGATTTTGACCGCACTTTTTTTTTATTTCGCAATCCTTTTTTCACAAGTCCACATTTTCTCTATTTTGAATAGATACGAAAACCCCCACAGAGAAAGCCCTGGATCCACTCCTGATTTTGCTTCTTGCTTAGGTGTCTCAGCCGCCCCGTTGGACAATTGAAGACAGTAAGTGGAGAAGAGAACATCACCTGTTGCACATAAAGTACAGCGAGAGGTCATTCGGGGTCACTGTGAGTGATGAAGTGCTGGGGCTGGAGAAGAGTGCCCAGATTGCAGTGCTCTCATCCGACACTCATCCCGCTATTGTGATGGGTGAGTTATGGGTTTTTAATTACTAGATAAAAATTAATTGGTTATTTTTAGTAGTTTAGGTTTAAGTTTAGGTTTATCATTAAGATCATCCTGCTATTGCGATGGGTCAGTTATGACAATTTAATTTTTATTTGATACCTAATTTGTTTGTTGTAGTAGTTTGGATTTATTATTAAGATCATCTCGCTATTGTGATGGGTGAGTTATGGTTTTTAATTACTAGCTAATAACTAATTGGCTAATTTTAGTAGTTTAGGTTTATCATTAAGATCATCTCGCTATTGTGATCGGTGAGTTATGGGTTTTTAATTACTAGCTAATAACTAATTGGTTAACTTTTAGTAGTTTAGGTTTATCATTAAGATCATCTCGCTATTGTGATGGGTGAGTTATGTGACTATTTAATTGTTATTTTTTAGGTAATTGGTTATTTTATAGTTGTTTAGGTTTGTCATTGAGATCATCCTGCTTTTGTTATAGATTAGTTATGGCTATTTAATTTTTATTTGTTAGTACTAATTTTTTTTGTGGGAGTAGTTTAGGTTTATTGTTAAGATCATTCCGCTATTGTGATGGGTGAGTTATATGACTAATTATTTAATATTTCATACCTATTTGTTTATTTTGTAGTTGCTTAGATTGATTATTAAGATCATCCCGCTAATGTAATGGGAGATTTTTATGACTATTTAATTACTATTTGATATTTAATTGCATACCTTTAGTTCTTTAGATTCATCATTAGGATCATCCCGCTTTTGTGATGGATGAGTTTTTGCTATTTAATTATTATTTGATAGTACCTAATTTTTTTGTAGTAGTAGTTTAGATTTATTATCAAGATCATTCCGCTATTGTGATGGGTGAGTTATATGACTTTTAATTATTATTTTATAGGTAATTGATTATTTTGTAGTTGTTTAGCTTTATCATTCAGATCTTTTTGCTATTGTGATGGGTGAGTTATGACTATTCAAATATTAATTGATACCTAGTTTTTTTTGTAGTAGTAATTTAGATTTATTATTAGGATCATCTCGCTATTGCGAGGGTGAGTTATATGACTATTTAATTATTATTTGATAACTTAATGGCTAATTTCTAGTAGTTTAGATTTATCATTAGATTATCCGCTATTGTGATGGGTGAGTTATGACTATTTAACTATTATTTGATAACTAATTGTTTTTTTTCAGGTGTTGATATTTATCATTAACAACATCCCGCTATTGTGATGTGTGAGCTTATTTAGTGATTATGATTATTGATGGCATCATAGAGAAGAGAGAATTTTGGGATCCTAGTTAGAGATGCCACTGCTTCTAATGCAAACTGTTTCTACTTTAATTTAAATGCTAGTTAAGCTGATATGTGTTCTGTTTTTCTTCCTTCGTTCAACAAAATCATCCAGCCTCTTTAAAAAAACCAAGAAATTAGAAAACAAATCAGAAAAAAATTCAATTTTTTGTTACAATCTGTAAAAAAAAACCTTTTTTTGTGAGTTTTTCTGGAATTAGGGCGACTAATTAATCGCTCGTGCGCTGCAATTTGCAAGGTGAAGTCATTCAATTAAGTCACGCCTAAAAGGAGGGTTATACGAGCTCTTGTCAAACTAAATAGTTAACCATAGGGTTTTGCCTCTGTTCTGGTTGACTAGAAAGTAATTTTTTTTTTAAAGAATGTCTCATTCTCGAAAGTCTTTTTACTTCAAATTATGAGATAATATTAAAAGCAATTATAATAGAGGTTTTTTTTGTTTTTTTATACAATTTTGAGTTTCAATGAGCGCAGGGAGGAGACTTTTACAGGCCTATCAGGCACTTTTACAGGCACTTTTACAGGCCTAGCGCAGGGAGGGCACTTTTTCGATTTCTTTTTGGAAAAAAAATTTAGAAAAAATGATAATGCCAATTGTCTTTTGCGGTTTCAACGTTGAAATGGCTTTTTTTTCGTTTTCCCCACCTGCAAAATTGTGCCGGAAAATTCTCTTTCAAACTTTCTTTTGGTAACACAAATTGGCATCCGGACTTTTTAGGTCACGACAACCATGTTTTGTTTTGATATCTAACTTTGTAAAATCCATCATTGCAGTAAAAGAGCGTAAGGTGGGGGGAAACGGAAAAAGAGTTCTTATTTTCATTTTCGATTCAGTTTTCTTTGCTTTTAGGCAAAACACATTCTCCAAGTAAAAAAGCAAGAGTTGAGCAAAAAAAACGTGTATGGCTCCTGGGTTCGAAAGTGTATTTGATACTTCTTTTCTAATTTTCCAGCGGAATAAAAAAATTCCTTTTGATGCTTTTTTCTCCAATTCGGCTAATTTTATAAGGCAGTTTCTTGTCATAAATAAATCTTGAATATTTAAGAGCTACAACGGGATCCATGAAACTTCTTTAAGTTTGGAAAAAAAATGGCCATTGTTGGCTTGGTTGGATTTGTTATTGGACTGCAAGATATGTCCGACTGTTTCTCTAAAGATTGAAAGGGCTGGTTGCCGCTTTTCGAGCCAGCGCAACGTAATTTTCTTCTTTAATTTCCAAGTCAAACTCTGAAATGTTAATCATCACTTATCAAGAAGCATCCCAGATATTTTTTTTTGATCTGTGATTTTTTGATAAGCACAAATTTTTGTATAGCTAAACATGAAATATCACAGATTTCTCTGAGTAAGGATTAAGCAGAAAATCGAAGGTTCATTTTTAGAAACTTTACCCTAAGTCTTATTTTGCACACTATTTGCTAGCAAAACTCAATTAAAAAACCTAATTTATAAGCCTTGCCATACTGCTAAAAAAAACTGCCCAACGTTAATCCAATTTTAATGTACTTTTTTACTAATTCTTCGCTAATTACTTCACTTATTAACGATTATTTTTCACACACTTGACATCGATCAATATAATTTAGATCGATTCAGTGATTTTGATTTCTGTATCAAAACTTAGCAATAAACAATCGCCAATTAATTGCTAACAAATTTATGATTTATTCCAGCGCCAATTCATTGCTAAATTAGAGTTAAAGTTTTGTTGATTTTTACAACGGCGAGTGATGTTTTCACACGTTCCCAGGCTGACCAAAACTTTTAATTGAACAATTTATTGTCAATGAAAATTTTGAAAAGTAATGAATATAGTGAGTACTCTCATATAGGTCTTGGCAGTTTTCATTGTTTGTTTTTTTCAGGGAATTTTTTTAAAATAAGTTCACGCCAAAATTTGATTTTCTAATGTTTGTTTTTGATTTTTTTTTCGTTGAATTCATTTCTTTTGTTAAAAGGAAGGCAAATTGGACTATTTAACAGCAAAACGAAAAGGTTACGAAAATCGTGATTGTCTTCTAAATTCGAAAACGGAATAAAATTATCAAATTATATCCAGCAAAACAAAACTTTACCTGATGATCCAGTGTTTTCAATCTAATTTGTTTAAGCAAAGGGATTAAACATATATTCTGTGTTATGTTCAAAGAGCTTCAAATGCTATTTTTTCAAATTCGCAACTTGAATTTTTTCCCAATAAACAAGCCAGTTTTTTTTCTGTTTCCTTGCTTTCATTACTCCTTTCCAACTGTCAGTTGGCTATGCTTCTCCTATTTTTCCTTTTAATTCCATATGCCGGAAAATTTATTTGAAAGTACTGCGATAAAATAGTTTCATACATGAAAGTTGCATGAAAAGCTTTTTTCTGTGATTAAAACCTCTTTTTTGTGTTTTGTATTTTTTGTATTTTGTCCAAAAACACATGATCCGAAATATTTCTATCATAATACAGTCCATTGGTTGATGGGAGGAAACCTCACTATGCAATTGCTATGGAGAATTCTTTTTTAAATGAGATAGTGTTTCAGAAATTACTCAGAATAATCAGTAAATACTGTTGGTTTCTGTAAATTTTTTGTTGAAATTTTTTCTAGTCGGATTTTGTGAACAGATTTTGTGACAAATAAAAGGATATCTTGTTTCATAAAAGCATTAAATTTTCAGAACTGATTTTCCAAAAAAAATCACATTAGTTTTTGTTGCAGGTTTATGAAAAAATTCAGCCGGGACTACGTTACAGACAAAACCATATTTTTTGCATGCTTTTTTGGAAAAAAAAAATTTTGAGCATAAAAGTGATAATGCAACCAAAAAACTGAAACTTTATATTCTGAAACTCAGATTTTCTACTTAAAAATTTTTCTTTTGCGGCAATTAAAAAAATGCAGATCATACAGTATTATCAAATGAAAATTATATAATTAACATAGAATTTTATTTGGAATCCTAATCGTTTTTCGTGTACGGGGGTAAACCAGGGTTTTAAATGCTTTTCTTCTGCAATATATCAACCTGGGTACAAATTGGCAAATTTGAACCAGTTTTGAACCTGTAGAAAACTCTTGAAAATTTGTCTTTAAACGCAATTTTTCTAATTCTCAATTTTGAAACGTATTTACAATTTTTAAGTTTTATAGCAAACAAAATTTAAAAATGAGTTTTCAATAAAGTTAACAGACAATAAAGTTTAGTGACTTATATAATATTCAAAAACGCATAAAAGAAACTGAGGTTATAAAACAAGGCCAAGTAGAGAATCACAAACAAAAGTGACAGAGCCATGTTGTAATAAATGTCTGAGCTGATATGAAGTGAATAGACGTAACAGAGAAGGAATAAAGCGGTTGCAAGGAGGAAAGGGGTTCCCAAATTGGGAATGTGAGCTCGTTTTTCTTCCATCATCTCCATGCGAAGAGACCTGAAAAAAAAAACTAAAATTAAAAAAAAAAACTGTTGCGACTACTCTCAAAGATTGGAGAGGAGCTATGTATTTGGGAGTTTTTTGAAGTTTTTACCCAGCCAATTTTGAGTACAATACGACGCCAAACTCGACTTCTTTGTTTTATTGATCATGGTCCGGATTCTAACCAACTCGAAAAAATTGTCTCGTGTGAGGAAAGTTTTCTATTTAAAACGCAAATTGACGAAATTTGCTGCGAGGCTGACCGCCTAGCTTTAATAA